TTGCAATATATCGCGGCACCAAAAATTATCACGCTCATTTCCATATATCGTGCGATAAGTCGATATATTGACTATCGCGACAGGCCTAGATCCAATAGCAGGCTTTATTAAAAAGAGTGTAGTCAGGACAGGCAGGGTCAGATACCAACAGACAATAACATCCAAGGCACAGGCAAAATAAAAAGTAATCCAACAAGACAGGCAATGATCAGGGCAGGCAGCAGTCAATCAAAAACAAGGTAACAGTCCAAGGATCAAAACACGAGAAAGGCAAAACTTTGGAATATGGAAACTAGGAAACACGGAAGGGCTAAACATTCTATCACCAGCGAAGACAGAGTGTGTGTGCTACTTTTAAAGTCCTAATGTGAGACAGCTGTGAACTGATGATGAGATCTGATGAGAGACAGGTGATGCAATTGATGAGTCCGTGCAAAGGATTATGGGAAATGGAGTCCTGGGTAAATTGGCAAGAGTCTGGAGTGGAGTGCCCTCTAGCGAAGCTCACAGGCACTCCAGCCAGAGATTGTGACATTTTCACACTGAGGACAGACGAGGGACTCATATGCAACTATTACAGAAGGTTCAAACGCTCACTGATGCTCCAGAGGGAAAAAGCATACATTAAGAGCCGGGGAGTGAAAACTTTTTGAATTAGAAGATCAGGGTAAATTTTACTTATTTTTTCTTCTTGGAAACATTTTACTATCTTCGGTAGCCTCTGAAGAGCAGTACTGAATGAAAAAATATGATATTTAGGCAAAATAAGCAAAATGTACACATCTCCATTCTGTTCAAAAGTTTTCACCCCTTTCACTTAATGCATCGTTTTTCCTTCATGAGCATCAGTGAGCGTTTTAAACTTCTGTAAAGGTTGCATATGAGTCCCTCATTTGTCCTCAGTGTGAAAAGATGGATCTACTTATTCAGGTCAGTACTAAATACTCAATAACATGCATTTTGTATGATCCCTTTTATTTTGGTAAAATAATTAGCATTTGGCAGATTCTGAAACTGTAAACTTTTGACCTTAACTGTAAGTAATGAGAAATGTGTCCTAGCATTTTGAAGAGGGGCTTCAGATCCCCCGCCGAGCCTAGGAAGGGCTCCCGATCCCAAGTTCCGCCCAGGAAGGGCTCCCGATCCCCAGTTCCGCTCAGGCAGGGCTCCCAATCCCCAGTTAATTGTTCCCAGGTGTTTCCTATGTTAATTGTCATTAGTTCCAGGTGTCCCTTGTCTTTCCCTCATCAGTTCCTGTGCATTTAAAGTGTTCTAGTTCTTGTCCATTTGTCAGTCGTTGAACGTCATCCTGATGTGTCGAGTCCTGTGATCCCCAGCCTTTGTTAATAAAACCCTTTTGATTTATTCTACTCCGTGTCTCCTCGCTCCTTTGTTCCCGTGTTCCTCGTGTGTGTGCACCGTGACAGTGACAAGCTTTTCCCTTGATGGTGAAATGATTGGGCTGTGTGACATTTGTTCCAAGGAGGCGTGTGCCAACTCCGCAGTGCAAAGATGGATTTTGTTATTGGTTTAATTTGATTGGTATTATTCTAATTTCGGATTTATTGATGAATGTTTGGCATTAATGACATAACAGTACATTTATAATTATTCTTAATTTCTGACTTTGTTGCTCAAAATTTTATCCTAATTTTTAAAAATGTCTTTTAATAAATTAGAGAACACTTCCTGTATTATATTAAAATAGCTATGTAATATTACCTTAATATTACTTTAACTATGTATGTAGTATGAAATGTATGTTTCATATTAATTTGTCTAGGAACCTCAAAGCATGTTTTACTTTTTTGTATTTTGCACTAATGTCAGTTGTAAAATACTATTGGACATTTATGCTCTAGAAAAAAAAGGAGTTACTATTCTATTTACCAAATATCTTGTCTGCAGTACAATTTTATACCTTTAGTTGTACTTTTATGTTTCCTTGAGGTACAATTTATCATTCCATGTAAAATAATAACTATTTTTACCACCGTTTGTGAACCTTTATCATGTCTGAGGAGTGTCTTTATCAAGATTGTCTGTTTTACAATTCAGCAGAAAAGTTTTATGGCCTCATATTACAATGGCATGTTTCTGATGGAATTGGTATTATATATACAATGCAATTATCTCCAGCTTTTAAAGTTACAACTTGTTAGTTAATAAAATAACTAACTCAGTTTTTAGTGAGAAAATAATAGTATGTTTGAAAAGAGGGTGGAGTCTCATTAGGACTGGATCATTTTAAGCAACACTGGCCTCTGGGCTCAAAGAAGTGTATTTAGGTCTCAAGGAGTTCATGTTATTCAGTTGGGCAGATGTGAACAAAATTCTAGTAGCCTCACACTGTATTGCTGGGATGCAAGCTCTAATCTGAGTTTTTTTCAGCATATGAGTAATAATTCAGGACAATGTCAGCCTAGCACTTTTCCTGGACGGAAAGGTAGTGATCGACTCCTTAGATGCTGTATCACACAAACAAACACATGTCCCTATTTTCACATCCTGTCCTTATGCCCAAAGTCTGAATGAGTGGCCTTTGTGTTTTAGAAATGTAATTCACACAGAGAACAACTGTGAGCATGTAATGACGTGGAACGAACAAAGGTTTGTAACTTCACAATGTCATAAAAAAAAGAAGAGACTATGGCTCATCATGCAAGATAGACATGTTTTTAGTATCATTACTGCTTAAATGGTATACTGAAATTGACAAAATTTGACTTTGAGACTTTAATACTTTAAAGTTAATATACTGCAGTTTTAATAAACAGATTTATATAATTTGCATAGTATAATTTAAACTCAAATACAAAACTACCATTTTGACAAAATAAGGTATGTCTATTATTTCACAATTGCTTCAGATGAAATGTAGCTTTGAACTTTGGAAGGCCAAGTATCTTTCTGAAACCACTGCTCAAAGATGAGAGAGAAAAAGACAGGAATCCTGTTTATTTCAAAATGAAAATGTTAATTGGAACAGCGTAAAAGCACTAACAGAAAATAATTAAAATACATATGGAAATACAGCATAACAAAGTACAGGAAATTCAAAATCAAAACACAATGTGAAAAACGATCAAAACCACTCTACCCTTTACATCATTTAGGTAAAATGTTTGTGCTTTCTTTATGAAAGAATGGGACGAAAGTTTGCAACATGAACAAAGCACAAAACCATGACTTGACAGGTTAACCTAAGGTTAGTTAACCTTGCCCAGTAATGCAAATTCTGGTTTTAATCATTTGTGAAATTTAGCTCATAGCGAATTAAAAAGAGGCTACAAAAGAATACAAGGAGTATGAACAGTGGCAGCGGCTAACAGGCCATTTTCCAATGTTTACCTAAGAAACACCATTCTCTCAAGAGAGTTAAAGAGATCTCTGAAAAAAAGCGTAATCAAGAAAATGGGGGTGGGTCTCTATTTTGCTCAAAGTTTGAGCTCATGAAAACCCTCTATGTACACAACTGAGACTGACACAGCAAAAGTTCAACTGAAATGTAACATTCAACCAAATGTAGCACAGATCAACAACACAGGCTCACAACAAGGAACCTTATACTTGGTCAAGTGTACACTGGAGAATGATTGAACAAAAGACAAAACTAAAGATCATTAAAAGAAAGGTAAATTGGTGCAAAATGTATTCATGTGATGCACAAACCAATTATTAAAATACATTCAGTAGCAAATTAGAATGCATTTGTAAGTTCAATCAACTTTCATTTAGAAAGAAAGAAAGAAAGAAAGAAAAAGAAAGAGAAAGAAATCCAAAAGATTAATAAAAGAGGGCAGTTTTATAAAATACAATTACATCTGTAAGAGGAAACTGACTCAGGATGCAACTCTCTACACACAAGAGGCATGACGCAAGAAGACCATGTGAGAAAGCACACTGCTAAAGCTTAGTGAAGGGAACCACAACTTGGATTTTCATTCCGCCCCCCCCCGGGGTATTATAATGGTTTTAATTATAAGATCATTAAAAGAAAGGTAAATTGGTGCAAAATGTATTCATGTGATGCACAAACCAATTATTAAAATACATTCAGTAGCAAATTAGAATGCATTTGTAAGTTCAATCAACTTTCATTTAGAAAGAAAGAAAGAAAGAAAAAGAAAGAGAAAGAAATCCAAAAGATTAATAAAAGAGGGCAGTTTTATAAAATACAATTACATCTGTAAGAGGAAACTGACTCAGGATGCAACTCTCTACACACAAGAGGCATGACGCAAGAAGACCATGTGAGAAAGCACACTGCTAAAGCTTAGTGAAGGGAACCACAACTTGGATTTTCATTCCGCCCCCCGGGTATTATAATGGTTTTAATTATAATTATAATTTTGTATGTTGGTTTTGTCAACATAAAACCAGCATAATGTCAACACATGAGTCAGACACCAAAACAGTCATTATTATGTTAGTAAAACTAACACTGTAATAATTTCCTGTTATCTTGGCTGATTTCCTGTTATCTTGGGCCGATTCAACTCCCATTTTCTTGACTTGACAGGGACACAGAGGAAAGCCCATAGAGTTTTTCAGTGTGGATTATCATCGTATTGACAGTTCAGAAGATCATAAATATTTGAGATTATATTTGGAAATGAGTTAACACAATTTAGGGACATTAAAACAATGCCTGCATAAAAAAGAGACTTGGAATAAAAATTGCAATATTAAAAAGTCAAATAATGACATAACATTAAAAAAAAAAAAGCTAAAATCTAAAAGGTCAACATGGTTACCCCCCCCCCCAAAAAAATATCTTGAGCTAAAATGGAAGACAATAAAAATATGTTTAACATCCGATAAGGATTAAGCTGACAAATTGACAGTATTTTTTTCTATCTAAAAAAGAAAGAAAAAAAATCCACCAATATGGTGGAAAAACATGCAGTGAATATGCATTGTTAATCCAGTTTAGACGCATCTGTCGTACACTTGCAAAAAAAAAAAAAAAAAGAAATGGTTATGCAAAATCACATTTGAAAGGAGTGATTGGGAAAAGGGCTGTGTGTAAAACCTTATATTTCTATAGTTTTCACCATCATTTCGGGTTTTTCATGAAACAAAAACTTTACTGAGGTTTAAGAAAGGAGACAGAATCAAATGTCAGTGTTGTCCTCTTTGGAATACTCTTCCACCAGCTGTTCATAGGAGTGGCCATGGTCCGACCCATCTGTGGTGAATACGGAGGTCTCAGATTCCGAGCCTTGTTCCTCTTTGAAATCGGTCTCATCAGCAGTTGAAAACTTAGGCATAAAGTCATTATCATCATTCTCCAGGTTGTTGTTTAGCAAATTCTCTTCATCAATAAAGGTAATGTTGGCATTGGGAAACATGAGGGTCTGGTAACTTTTGGAGTCCCATGTGATCCGGCCATCGCTGCATCCTCCATGTTCTAGACATTTGTGTTTCTCTCCTGCCTCCTTGTCCAACTGATTCCCATACATTCTTATACAGTCTAGGTCAGTGTCTGTCTCTTCTTCCCCATGCATTTCATTCATGAGAAGACATTCCTCTTGGCTAAGAAGGTAACTGTTGGATTTTGAGAGAGCTACATTAACTCTATCACTGAAGCTATAGTGGCGTTTCTGTCGAGGTGAGTGGTCTAGACTGATAATGTAATTTCCATTAATGGAATAACTATCACTGCAGCTCTTTGAGCGGTTTGGTGCTTTATTCTTGCTTCCAGTGATGAAGCTGACACATTGATCTTCTCCTTCCTTCTCAACACCTATCTGCTTGATTAAGTCATTGTAATCTTCTTTTTTCCTGGACAGGAAGCTAAAGATGTTGACATCATTGGGAGTTGGTGGCAGATGTAGGGTCTTGTGACTTGCCTGTAGCTCATCCAGAGAAAGTTTGCGCCTTTTACGGCGTTTCTTTAGAGCTTTGTGAGCCTCCACAACCATGCGCACCTTCCAATTGAAAAACAAAGACAGCCATGCCAGACCAAGATAAATCCACACCTCTACAAAATACCGATACAGAGTAGGGTAGTCAGCATTGGGGTCAACACCTAAACAAAACAGACAGTGAAAATAGTTAGCAAATTTATATCAAAATCTGTCAAAAATGTACAATTTATACATTTATGATTAACTCTAATATGCCTATATGCCTACACTTGGAGACACTGAATTTCCCAAAAGTGACTAGACCATTGTTGAGTTTAATATGGCTGTTTGTGTATATCTTAGAGAAGTAAAGCTTGACAGGACAAACTTTGATGGTGGCTTGACAAATCTTTTTGAAAAAAGGTTTAAAGTTTGATGGTTATATAAATGCAGTAAGAAAATCAGGCAGCTAGCTAGGCATAGATAATAATTTAACATTGTTGCTAACATGTTTAGCACATTATGTTAATGACCTGACATAATCCTGTAACATCGAGACCCTTGTGAAGAAGGCCTGTGAGCGTCTGTTCCACTTCAGGTGATAAAATAATTTTTAAACCGCCCTCTAAGGTGCTCAGGAGCTTTTAAACCTGCACCACTAAGAGCATCCTGACGAAAAACATTTTAGCCTGGTTTGGGAACCTATGTAACCGGTATGTACTAGAACCAAATCCGAATGCAGATTTCGGTGCCTCATTTCTGGTTCTCCGAAACGGGCGTAAGAAGCATCATCACTGGCACCGCACGTGAAAAACAATTTCCCGACTGAGAAAATGCACGTGAACTCGAGTCGGAAAGCTCTAATAATACAAATCCAACACATCTTTGTAGTAACGAGAGTGCCCATGTTGTTTTCACATTCCGACTTAAAAGCACAACTCGGGAAATGAGAGCATCCGAGGAGCCTGTGAATGCAGTAACTACACTTGCTTTGATGGCAGCAGGTAGCCTTCCGTTAACTAAGCTAAACATGCTTAAATTTAAATGCCTAAAGCTAAAAATCG